CAGCTCCAGGCAGTCCAGAGTCCTGCAAAGCCTCCAGGCCAGGCGGCTGGATCTGACTCATATGCCCAGCCAATTATTCAAGTGGTAAACGAGGGCCCACCTAATTTGGGGGTGCCACACTTAGAACTCTGGGTTCCTATCACTTAATGCCTAATCAGTGACTTTTGGGGTTTCCTCTGATTTTCTCTGCATGCATTGCTTGTATGATTTTTCTCCTCCACAGGTGACCCCAATTCAATCCTTGCTTCTGGCCCTATCTTCAGCTTCTGTTTAGTTTCTTTAAGTTTTAAATTCTGTCTCTAAGGCTGAACAGAGCCAAGTGACCTGGCTCAGTAAGGACTATCCGTCCTGGAGAATTTTTACAGCCGCCCAGGTAGGTGTGGACCTGCCTCAGCACAGGTGGTAGGCTCAGCTCCAGGAACAGGTGTGGCCAGGCCAATTCTGTCAAGCAGGGTAGCAGGGCCATAGCTGTTTCTCTAGGCACCAAGTCCCTATCACCTTCCAAGAATAGGTCATTCTGTCTGGGTTACATAGGACCCTGCTGGCACAGTGAGCCCAGATGACCTGGATGGGTCAGGTGATGAGGGATGTCCCCCCAACGGTGTCCTACAGGTGAGCTCTCTGCCTGCATGCAATATGGCCCAGGAGGTCTCTCCAGAAAACCTTGTATCTTAAACATCACAAATTATTTGTGAAATCCTGCTAAAGAACAAGCCCTCTGTCTGCTAAGAGGAATGTGTTTAGTATCCACCTCAAAGGGCCTGTGCCCGATGAGGGCACATTAACTACCAACTGCCCTTAGAATAGACACTAAAGCTTAACTCTCATTCATGCAACACATTATTGACCAATTACACTGATGGAACATCTAAAATCCACCCCATGTCCTACTGTGGTCACTTGCATGTCACTATAATCCAAGGAAGACGTTTACTTCCGTAAACACCTTTGACCATGTGGATCATAACAAATTATGGCTAACACTGGGAAGAACGGGAATCCCAACACTTAACTGTGCCACACGAAACCCAGACCTAGACCAAGCAGCAGTTGTCTGAACAAAACCAGGGAATGCAGTATGGTTTAAAATCAGGAAAGGTGAGTGCCAGGACTGTGTCCTTTCCCTACATATATTCAATCTATATCCCAAGCAAATAATTGGAGAGATGGACTTCATGAAGAATAATGTGGCATTAGGATTGGAGGAAGATTTAACAACTTGCATTATGTAGATGGCACAAATTGTTTCCAAAAAGTGAAGAAAGCTTGAAGCACTTGCTACACAACATCAAAGACTACAATATGGATTACATTTCAACATCAAGAAAACAAAAATTCTCACGACTGGACCAGTAAGCAACATCATGACAGATGGAGAAGACTGAAGTTATCAATTTCATTTTACTTGGATCCAAAAGCAACACTCATAATAGCAGTGGTCAAGAAAACAAGAAAAATCTGTACAGCCTCATTCCATAGTGCAAAAGGCCAGTGACACCAGTTCAATGAGTAAGAGGCACCGGACCCACACCCTGAACTCTAAGCCAGGCCTCCTGTGCATTGGAGAATTGGACAAGGAATAAAGAAGACCAAAGAACAATCATCACTAGATTGACATGGTGACTGCAACAATGGACTCGAGCTGGTTGGGGATTGTGAGGATGGTACAGAAAAGCGTATGGTTCAGATCTGTTATTCACAGGGTTGCTATGGCTGTAGCTGACTTGACAGCACAGGGCACCTACACCCTTAACCTACAAATATCCCTCAGAATCTTCTTTGCTGAGACAGACTGCAGAAGCTCATAGCCCTATTCCTTATATATGTATGCATATAATAAAAACTTTGGTTTTTCCACTCCAAGTCTTATCTCCAAGTTTAAGGAGGTTTGGGGGCAACAAAACTGTGTACTTCCAGTAACAAGATGATGTTGTTAAGTACTGCTGAGTGGGATCTAATTCCAGCTAACTCTAATGCAGGTATTCAGAGGTTGTAAATCACATGGGAAAAGACTGCCTATCTTTTTCCCAGGGAGCACCTGGTGGATTTGAACTGTGTGCCTCAGGTTTGACAGTACAACTTCTTACCACTAGGCCACATTGCTCCCTTACAACAGAACACCTAGAAGCCATTTCCTGTGGCTTCTCTTTCACAGAAGTGAGCAAAGCCGCCTCAAAGCACTTTCTGCTTTCTCTCAGTCTCCTCCCCCATATTCACTCCTGAGAGCGCAGCTGCTATCCCTTCTTCCTAGTTCACTCACAGCTAGGCAGACTGCTGTCAGCCTTCTAAGGCCTGGCTTTGGGGAAGGCAGGATGAGTGCCCACTTCCTGGCTGAGGAAGTGGCATATCAGAGTTGCACGACCCAGCGTGTGATGGGTGGCTAGCCAGGGTAGTGCAGGTGTCCCAAGGGGGACACAAATAGCTGATATGCACACAGGCACCCACATCCACTTCAATCAATGAGAACTTTCAGCTTTATCCGGTTCCTGGGGTGGAGACACTAGGGGGCGTGGCCTTCACCAGCCTAGCCCTGACCAAGTGATACTGAGGCCTTTTTCTGCAAAACTGGCCCTTCCTCTGGTCTCAAGACTGAGCTCTAGCCAGGACCTCCCTAGAATTTCCAAAAGCTCCCCTTGGTCCCTGCTCTCCTCACTCAGATCTACGGCTGAGGGCCACTTTCACAAAGAGGCCCATGAGTCCTCACTGTGGAAAGAGTGGACATGCTCAACTGCTAACCAAAAGGCTGGAGGTTCAAGTCCACCCAGAGGTGCCCTGGAAGAAAAGCCTGGCTATCTATTTCTGAGCCATGGCACAGAAGACCCTGTAGATCAGATCTCCTCAGACTCTTCTGAAGTCAGGTCACTGGGAGTCAGACAGCTGGAGGGTAAGAGGTGAGGTTAGCGGTTTTCCTGGACCCAGCCCTCTGCAACACCACCCACACACTGCACCCTCCACTCTTATCTCAGTAGCTGTAATCACTATCTGAAGGGACTTCTCATCTGTTTGTGCATTCCTTACCCTCTCTCTCTTCTCAGAGCAACCTCTTCCTTCACTGCCCCTCAGGGTGGCCAGCATGTCACAGGACAAATCCACACAGCAAAAATCGTAACTGACCTACTGAAACCACAATCTCAAACCCACTTCCTCCAAGCCCACTCCACAGCACAGCATCCCTGTAGGGCAGCAGAGAACAGTCCCAAGGGTTCCCAAGACTGTGTCTTGTGTTTGTACAGAATCAGATGGCTCATCTTTCTCGCCGAGAGCACTGCTTTCTGGTCAGCAGAGTGGTTCCAGCACACAGCCAGGGGCGCTCCTCCTAACTGACTGGACTCCAGGAAATTTCAACAAACTCCTTCTGCTCCATGGTCACTCTCACTTCGACTCCTTAGAACTGGAGCACTTCTGTGCTGGAAGGACTGGCAAGGTTGGTGGTAACCAGATGACCACTTTCAGTGATGAAGAAATACCTACCGGGCAGAAGTCAGTTGGGAAATTTCATGAAGCAACTCAGTTTAAAAAAAAGAACAAAAAACAGAACAACAAACTAAATCCCAAAAAGCAAAATGCAGAGCTTCCATGAAGCACCACAAGGTTTTCACTGGGCAGTTATTTAAAAAGAGTGGCCAGTCCTCCTTTGTCTTGAATTCACTGATCCATAATGAGTGGCTCTGCTGGGATTTGAACTACTAAAGGCACAGCTCCCAACACCACAGCAACACAGAGCAGTGTGGCACAGTAAAAGCTGGGACACCCCTACAGAAAGACACCATGCTTGGCAAAGAAGGTTAAAAAACCCAACTCATAGGTGGCCCTCCAGATGGTTTTCAGAGGCTGTAAATCTCAAAGGCGAAGATCACCCATCTTTCTCCAGCGGCGCTGCTAGTGGATTCGAACCACCTGCCTTTGGTTGGCAGCGCAAATCATAACCACCAGGTCACCAGAGTCCCCCAAACAGAAAAAGAGAAAGGCCCTCAGTGAGATGGACTGACACAGGGGCCACAATGAGCTCAAACACAACTGTGAGGATGCCCAAGGCGGGGGTGGGGGAGTGGAGGGGTGTCAGGGTGTCGCTGTGAATATGAACTCGTAACTCAAACACCACGTTTTAGGAGCTAAGAGGCCTCCTGACCACCCTCCACCTGAAATAGAGGTAGCAAGAAGTGGACAGGAGGAGCCAAGGGCAGGCAGGCCTCCCTGCCAAAGGGGTTTGCACTCAGGAGACCACAACCCAAGGACTGAGAAGCAGGAAGGCAACTACAGATAAGGGTTGGTGCTGTGATGACCTGATGACCACCAGGTGGGAGAGGGCGGTGGGATACTTCATACACCTGGCAGACGCACACTGGTGCACGTGCGAAGGAGCAGAGCACCTGAGTAGCCGCTGAAAGCCACCAGTCTGTCCGAAAGCACCTCTTTTTTTGGCGCCTCCGGACCGAAGGAAACTACCTGCCGCCCCTCCCGTGCCGCAGGTCGTACGTTCTCCTCGCTGCGCCCCAGCCCGGCGCTCGCGGCCCTGCGCGTGGTTATTAACAAGGCAGGCAGCCGCGCGCATGCCCAGGAGCGCACCCCGAGCCTCGCAGAGGGATCCCCGCTGGACCCGCCGCCCACACGGGTCACCTGCGATGCGCACGGGTATCAGTCAGACCAACGCCGTCGGGAAGCTGCGCTCGGCTGACACTCGGCCACCGGCCCCGAGCTGGGCGTCTCCGGCCTGGCAGGCCGCCGCCGCCGTGAGCCGAATAGTTGTGCTCGCTGGGCTCAGGTGGGCCTCGCAACGCCCCCGCGAAGCCGCTCTACGGACGCCCGGGACCCAGGCGCTTGGAGTGCGTCATCTCCAGGTCACCCCGCAGTCCCCCTCTCGGGCCTTGTCCACACGGTCCCCCGGCACCTGCGCACCCCCGGGCACTCCCCGCGCTCCTCGGTGGCTCCCGCGTCCGGCGCTCCGCTCGGACCAAGCGAGGATGCTCGGCGCCCCCGCCCCGCGCGCCCACCGGACCTACCGGATTCGCTCGGCGGTGACCGCGTTGCCGGTGTGCGGCCGCAGCACCGCCAGAAAGAGGAGCCGCATCCTGCCGCCTCCGCCCGCGGAGCCGCCGCCGGCCAGGAGGAGGCGGGCGCAGTGGGGCAGCGGCCCGTCCGATCCACCCTCCAACCGCGCGGCTCGCTGTTCCCGGCGGGTCAGGGCGGGGGAGGGGGTGGGGGTTCGAGCGGCCGCGCGGCCCGGGGTGTCCGCGAGGGGGCGCCAGCCCGTCCAGTGGAGGCCGCGGGGACACCGTGTCGGGAGGGGGACCTGGGTCTGCACAGGGGGGCGGGGCTGTACAGGAGAGGCCAGGGTCCGACCCAAGGGGGCAGCGAAGGCAAGGACCTGTACATGGGGGGCTGGGGGGTGCAGGGGTCAGCTAAGGCTCAAGATCTGCACAGTGAGGGAGCGAGGACAGGCAAGGCCAATCTGGACACTACACCTGGGGGGAAGAGCGAAGGCCGGATCTGACGGGACAGAGAAAGCTGGGTTTGCACTCAGAGGAGGCCAAGCTAAGGGTGTGATCAAGGAGAGTGGGGGTGGCTTGAGGACGGGGGGGATTAGGAAGGAGGGCAGGGTAGATGGAGAAAGCTAGGTATGAGCTAGATATGAGGGGGAAGGCCCGAGACAAACCGCAACAAAGCAGCAGGAGGGGCAATGTGGCTCTCCGTGGCACACAGGCTTTTTGAGGGACTCATCTTTTACGTGATTTTTATTCTACCCTAGACCTAGGCACCCCAAAACCCACCACAGGAAGAAACGCACGCAAGAGTGCGAGCTGGGATGAACGTGTGATGAGGGGCAATTTAGGAGGTCCACCAGAGCCTCCCTAGCTGGGACCTGAGCTCTCCAAGGCAACAGTGGTGGAACACAACCCCACCCCAAAGTCTTTTCACTTAAACGAACTGGAGTTGAGTTCTGTTATGTAAAGTCAGTTCAAGAGCAGGCAGCCCAGTGTCTCCACAGTCCACAGGTACCCAGACTCTTAGTCCAGCCCAGAGTTGTACTTCTTGTCTCAAGACCATCTCAAGATGCCTATGGCCGCTGTCCCAGGAGCCATTACACTGACATTCCAAGCAGCCAGAAAAAGTCAAAAGGACACATTCAAAATGGTCCAGATTTCACGGTCATACTTTCTATCCAGGGAAACTGGGAACCTTGGCTTTAGTAATGGTAAATATGACAACAGTCTAAATTATGAAGCAGTTGTTTTGTGAAAGGATGCTGTCTAAAGCAGTCCCCTAACTCTGTTTCAATTGTTGACATAAATTCAAACACCATTTGAGTTTTTTCTGCATAAACCAACCAGGTGGCTCTGACTTCAGGGCCCGTGCAGCTGAAAGCCCCATCACAACTGAGTGAGCCCACTACTGTTAACTCACATAAGCTGTCAGGTCTGAACTGACTCAGCTGGAGCTTCCTCCAGCAGGTTTCCAAGGCGGAAAGAGGATCGTACATCTTCCTCACCAGAGCACCGGGTGAATTCCAGCCACCAGAGAGGTGTGGCCTCTGGGTTAGCAACTCTCTACCAACTAATCCAACAACTGACTACGACTCAGAGTGACCCTGGAGCTCTGGTGGCCTGTGATAGGAGCTGCTGAGGTTTGAATCCACCAGCTGCTCCAAGGGAGACAGACAGACAACCTCCTCCCCTGTGACTAGACTGACAGTCTCTTGAAAACCCACTGGAGGGTCAGCTATGTCTGGGTCGGTTCCAACTTGACAGTGCATGTCATCAACACAGTGATCCTGCACACAACACAACAAAACCCTGCCTGATCTCGCTCAATCCTCAAAGCGGAGCTCCAGCCCACCGCGGCAGTCACTGGGTCACTCACTCTTGCTGAGATCCTCTCCGAGGAGACCCTCTACTTTCCCTAGTGTAGTGCCTTTTTCTAACTCACTCCTCCTTACAACCTGCCCACACAGTATGTGGGTTGAAATCTTTCCATCCTTGCTTCTAAGGAGCACTCTGGATGTACTTCTTCCAACACCAGTTGTTCTCTTTGCTGTCCATGGTATATTCAATATTCTCTGCAAAACAGCAATTCAAAGGCATCATAAATTCTTCAGTCTTCTTTATTCGTCAGCCATCTTTCACATGCATATGAAACCAATGAAAAATACAATGACTGGGCACACCTTCTTCATCTTCAAGCTGATATCCTGTTCTTGAAACAATTTGAAGAGAACTGCCCTAGGCAACGCCCCTTTTGATTTCTTCTGCTGTGTCCACAGGTGTTAACTGTAGGGCCAAATAAAGTGAAATGATGTGCAAAGTCAATCTTTACTCCATTTACCATGCTGCTGCTTATTGGTCCAGTTGTGAGGATTTCTGTTTTACTGATGTTGAGGTATAATGCAAACAGTGAAAATTAGATAACTATGGGAAAATGATATAATTAAAAAGGAAGACTGAAGAAGGGAAGCCTTTGAAATGTGTGGATTGTAGAGTATTAAATATACCATGGACTTTGATCTCTCACCTTCTTCAGTAAGTGCTTCAAGTCCTCTTCACTTTCTGTGAGCTAAGTTACTGTCATCTGCATATCACAGGTTAATGAGTCTTCGTCCAATCAGGATGCTACATTTTTATATAGCCTATGTTTTATTTTTAATTTTATTATTTTTGTGTGTGTACCGTCAAATCAGATCTGACTAGCACAGGAGGAGACTGCCCTTCTTTCTCCAGCAGAGCATCTGGTGGATTTGAACTGCATACCTCTGGGATTGCAGTACAGATTCTTGCCACTAGGCCACCAGAGCTCCCTATATAACACACCTTCTTAAGTTAATTTCTTTCCTCAGAATACCTGTCCTGATTTTCAACCATATACTATTCCCTTGTTCTGTTTGGACAACAGCTTCGGTCCATGTACAGGATTGGCATGAGCACACTTAAGCGTTCTGGAATTCCCCTTCTCCATGGTATCCCTAATTTATTATGATCCAAATACTCAAAAGCTTTTACATACTCAATAAAGCACAAAGATTTTTCTGGTATTCTCAATTTTCAGGCAAGATTTATCTAATTGTTGTTGTTGTTGTTATGTGCCGTCGAGTTGTTTGCAACTCATAGCAACCCTATGTACAACAGTCCTAAACCCTGCTCTATCCTGTGCCAACCGCACTGCCTCTGACACACCCATCCCGATTAACCCAGTCACTGAATCGATCCACCTCATAGATGGTCTTCCCCTCCTGCGCTGTCCCTCTCCAAGGACCTGTCCTTACAACATGTCCAAAGTATGTCAAACGAAGCCCCAGAATCCTTGCCTCCAAGGAGTAGCCTGGTTTAACCCTCTCTAGGATGAATCTGTTTGTTTTCTTAGCAGTCCATTGAACATTCAATACTCTTCTCCAGCACCACAGCTCAAAAGCGTCAATTCTCCTTCTATCCTCCTTAGTCATTGTCCAACTCTCTGATGCTAACAAGTGATTGCAAAGACCATGGCCTGTATCAGGCGCACCTTAGTCTCCAGAGAGACACCGCTGCTCTTGAGTACTTTAGAGAGGTCCCTAACAGCAGACTTTCCCATCACAATACGTTTTTTTATTTCCTGGCTGCTGGTGCCAAGAGTGTTGACCATGGAGCCAAGCACACTGAAGCTGTGAACAATCTCAATCTCTTCACGATCCATCCTGATGCTACCGATTAGTCCAGTGGTAAGAATCTTTGTCTTCTTGACATTGAGCCTCAGTCCATACTGAAGGCTGCAGTCCTTGACCCTCTGCAATAAGTGCATGAGGTCCTCCTCAGTTTCAGCGAGCAGGGTTGTGTCACCTGCATAACGCAGACTGTTGATAGACCTTCCACCAATCCTAATGCCATGCTTCTCCTCATAGAGCCCAGCCTCTCGGATAATCTGCTCTGCATACAGGTTGAAAAGGTATGGAGATAGGACACATCCCTGGAGTACACCCTTCTCAATTTTGAACCATGTGGTGCTGCCCTGCTCTGTTCTGATGACTGCCTCTTGGTCCAAGTATAGGTTTCGCATTAGCACGATTATATGTTCTGGGATTCCCATTCTTCTCAGAGTCAGCCACAGTTTGTTATGATCCACACAGTCAAATGCCTTTGCATAATCAATGAAACACAAATAGACATTCTTCTGGTATTCTCTGCTTTCAGCCAAGATCCATCTAACATCAGCTACAATATCCCTAGTACCACGACCCCTTCTAAACCCAGCCTGAACTTCTGGCAGTTCTCTGCTGATGTACTGTAATACTACCAATGATAACCCTTGTTCCATAACCTCTTCTGAATCTGGCTTGAATTTCTAGGAGTTCTCTGTGCTCCAACTGTTTTAGAATTAAAAACGGATGAGCCGGTTGTTGTTATGGAACATCACGTCAGATTCTACTCAAATCTGACACTCCGGTGGGTTTTCAGAAGTAGTAAATTACAAGGGAGGAGGCTGCACATCTTTCTCCTGTGAAGCAGTGAGTGGCTATGAACTAAGTACCTTTACCTTGAACTCCTGACAACTAAGCCACCAGAGCTCCCTGATGAGCCAACCTGGGATGATTTACCCTTAATTCTTTCAGGAAGAACTTGAGAATTTGCCTGGGCATGTCCTTAACTAGCTCAGGCAGTAATGACTCAGTAGTGAGGTGGGGGAGCCCCAGAACTCATCCTGTAAACTGCTTTAATCGGCCCAACCATAGTAGCAGCAGTCAAGAAACCAAACAGTGAATGCCTTTGAACTGCGGTGATGTTGAAAATTACTGAGTATTTACCATGGAGGGCCAAAAGAATAAACAACTCAGTTTTAGATGAAAAGGAGCCAAAATGCTGCATAAAGACAAAGATGGTGAGGCTTCATTTCATGTACTTTGGGCATGTTATCAGGATGGACTAAATCCCCAGAGTAGGACCCCATGCTTGGAAAAGCAGAGGGTCAATGAAGGAGAAGACGGCCCTCAATGAGATGGACTGACAATGTGACTGAAACCATGGCTTAAGCATGGAAACTGAGGATGGTGCAGGACTGGGCAGGGTGAGTTGGAGCAGACCTGACAACGACAATCAATCATGGTCT